TATACATATATACGTTGAATAATATACAAGAGATTATTCATTTATTTAGTTTATTTAACAACACATCATGTATTGAGTTTGATCAAGGAAGGTCGAAGGACTTACAACTGTCCATGGTTTGAAGGATAACGTTTTTTAACAAAAACAAATTTAAATTATCGTCATCCTGATAAAAACATTAAAGTTCACACCCTGCTGATTTATTTTATTTCAGCATTGACAACAATTATTAACCTTCATCAGTTTCCATACACACCTCTACCGCAATATACCATTCTCCACAATCCATGGGAAATTCATATCTCAGCTCATGTTAAATGTTACTCGGGGGAATTCCCAAACTCTTTCTATTATGTCTTCTAGTACCGCACTGACACTATTTCCGATGGAAATTGATATTGGGTAACGAATTTTTGCATCTGCTAAGCTTCTAAAATTGCTCGATTTCCTTAATTTATATCGTTTATATTTAAACCGATAAAATAGTATGTAACGGACATCCTTAACGCCCCTTGAAGTACATGTATTTGAAAAATAACCACCGTTTAGTATCAGGATTTTAAGGTGATTGTAAATAGTGTTTACCCAATTAATACATTTTCAAAGTCAAAACATGTTGTGCTGTCAGTTGTATGTTCAGTTACATCAACTATCCGCACGTTTTAGTCATCGTATATAATTTTCCCGATAAACGTGTGGTCGCTTTTGACTAGGACGTAGAGTAACTGTGTACTCATTATTCAAATTATATGCACAAAGCTAGAACCGTAATTCTTATCGTGTTTATAGCATTGAAATGTTTCGATTTTGTGCTTCGATTTTTCACGCTCGTGAAACTTTGGTTTAGGGTGCCGATAACACACCAAAACCTTATTAATTTTCATTGAAAATTCATTGACCCTCATAACCGGCTGTTTTGTTGCATCCCTAGTAGATAATGGAACCTTCGCACACATTGGTTGGTTTCCATGTCAGTTAATACATTCTCAAATTAATATATTCTACACATTATTAATGTTTTTGTGAATTATTGTCTGACTGCTATATAGGTTGGTATAATATCTCTGAAATAATTTCAGACATAGAGACACACCGTAACAGATGTTGAGCTTAAAAGCTAAGCTAAGCGAAAGCTGCCGCCACGTAAATTGTGTTATAATAATAGATTTATTCAGTACTATAGGCCATGGGTCTTTCATGAACAGTGATATGTATATATATATACATGGTCAGTTCAGGTTCATATAATAATTAACTGTACAAAACAGTAACAAACATGGCGATGGTTTGACAAAAAGATCTCGCTATTATGGACTGAAACAACTGCAATGCAAACACGTTACGTTCTCATGTCATTCATGACATAAATAACTTTAACGAATTATTAACATAATGCAACATTGTATTTAAATGTAGTAGTTATGAATAAAAATAATACAACAATTATCATCCATTCATACTACGTTTCAAATTATATTCAAATAATTATACTAAAGACGCATGCGGCAGTCCACACTTCGTAGTCCCCATGTTATCAAGTTGAAGGAACATATATACAAAGTTTGAAAATGAACAGTCAGTGCCTGTCGGATATACTTGGCTCAAAAATGTCCACCAGTCGGACATTTTGAATACGATCTGAGAACAAACTGATGTGCACCAATATCCTTTAATGTTTAATGTATGAACGGAATGTGTCCATGCACGATTAAGATCCGGTTCTGTCATCATGATGGCAGAAATGCTTGATTTGATGAAATTCTAACATTAAAATGGCTACCCATCAGACATCTTAAACTGGGTCATCAAACAAACATATTTCCTGCATAGACACTATCTGTTTATTAGCAGACTTACATTGGTTGTTATGGTTACGTTACATAACTATCGAGTTTATCACCAAAATAATACCATACAACTGTTAAACCTTACCGGCAGCACCAGGCTCAAAATAACTTCAGGGCGTCATAACAATGAATGCCTCCAGTAGTTGTATTGGCAGTTTCAAATGCAGTGTTGCAATACGTTGCTTGATGGTCGATGCACGAGTTAAAGAGCGGTGGTAGTCACTCCGCGCCCTGTTCTACATGGGACTACATAGCGACGTATACACCGCGTGTAAAATACACCGCGCTTAAATGTTTTGTATTACCATCACTGATAATAACATTCTTCTAATCGACAATTTAAACAACCAGTGATACATTTAAATCTTCACATTGCAGTAGTTTTTACACAAAAGAGGACGTTATTAGTCTATATAAGAGACTATAGAGGAACTGTGTTTAGATGCATGTGCAGCACGTACCTGTCTATATCTCTAATGGTAACAAGCAATGCATGGCACAGTCCCCGTTGGTCATCAAGTCTAAGCTATATAGTTTTGTTTAGGAAATATAGTACAAGTACTTGTTCATATTGAGAAATATTGCTCTGAACAGCATTAATTGAAACAAAATGGCCGCCGGTCTGCCATTTTGAAAGGGATCGTCAAAATGATACATCTGTATATCTATGACATGATGTATAATGAATATACAAGTTATTTTTAATGAGATAGTCCCCGTTTGAATTAAGGGAAATGTTATTCATGCCAAAAATACAATTAGTAATTGCGAGTGAATAATTGGCTGGTCCAATAACAGAAATTACATGTAATGTACAACTCTTCAAAAATCGAAATATATTGTCAGAAATTTAACAGGATATGCTATTCATGCATTTTTTTTTGTATCCAAACTGAATTTCATTTGTCAAGAGATATAGTATTATGATCAAAAAGCAACATTGATTGCAGGCAGGCAACCATCTTTCACCTGATTGTGAAACTAATTGTCATGGACATGTATCCTAATATGTCTAATTTGAAGAAAAAAAACACGTCCTGTTCAAGATACCACATTTTCCAATAAACAATGCCAACTTTGATGCATGTGCTGAATACCAATGTTTCCGCACAGGATTAAATGACAGTCACATAGCTTCTGGGAGCCTCAAAATTTAACCTAGACAGCATACACTTTCTGGAAATTTTCACTTTCATTAAAGTGTTTATTTTGAACTTCACATTAATGTTTTTTTTAATTATCACAACAGACAACCTCAGCTTAAGTAGAGTCCCAATTGTGTGTCTGCATTGAAAGAACCTCTTACAAGATATTTATCAGTACAGCTTTGGGCAGCAACTGCGACTAGTCCAGGTTCTCACAGGTTTAGAGAAGCTACACGCTAGCAGAATTGTTTTTTATGTATAGAACACCAATTTGTTTCAAGCAAGGATCAGACTTTAATGCACAATCTAAAGTTGACATTTCCACATTTATTGCTTAACTTCATCCAAGATTACTGTCACAGTGTAAGGCCTGCTTATCGCAATTGAGAGGGCCACCCACAAAATTCACTGCACAGGGGGGGGGGGGTCTTTTACTGCTAGAATGGGGTAGACAAGACAATAGTACTGGGAATGAAATGTATATCGGGGGGAAATTCTTCTCTCCTCGGGGGTTCTCCACACTTGTCAGGGGGAATCTCGTCTCTATATCTCGTCCCCTTGAGGTACGGGATCAGGAA